CTGTCTGTTCTTGATGCCCATGAACTCAATAGTTACCCATACTGGTCCCCACAACCTTGCATATACAGATATAGAGACGGATAATCGAGTCAAGCCGTATGTAAAATGCGTGAATCGTTGTGAATTCTAGCGTGTGTTTAAGTTAAAGTGACTGTGGAAATTAAGTGTACTATTAATTTGAACTGAGAAAGAATAAACTTGTTTTATTTAAGAAAGGGCTTGTATCGTTGAAGTTCTTCGGAAAGAATTTCTACGGAAAATTAACAAGCGAACACAGAGACGTAACAATACTAAGGAAAGGGCAGTGTTACGACAGCGGAAGTCACGCGACACTGGAAGCATGCGCGTTGGAGTTTCTAAAAGGATCATGACTGTTCTTGGCAACTCTAGTGTTTTCTGGATGTCCTGTTTTTGTATATAAGCCCGGCAAATAAAGTGGAGATAGGATAGCAGTCCAGACAGATATAGAGATAGATAATTGAGTCAAGCAAGCGGTAGTGGCCTAAGGAAAATGGGTGAATCTTTGTGAATTCTAGCGTGTGTTTAAGTTAAAGTGACTCTGGAAATTAAGTGTATTAATAAGTTTGTAACGAGAAAGAATAAACTAGTTTTAATTAAGAAAGGACTTGTATCGCTGAAGTTCTTTGGAAATAATTTTTACGGGAAATTAACAAACGAACAGAGACGTAACAAACTTAATTCATACTCTGAATTTTTCCTGAGGCAGTTTGTGTATAGTTTCTACTTTTGATTTTTCCTCGGGAACATTTATATTGTCTTCATTTTGTTTTTGTTTAGTAACAAGAAGCTGTAAATGCCAATCTTCAATTTTTTCTAAACCTAAGTAATTACTTCAATTATTACTACTCGAAGAACATTATTGACTCGTGGACACAAGCCTAAAATTGATGGCATTTTAAGTAGAAAGTAAACACTAAACTTAGGTTATCACCCTAGCGGAAATTGAGTCAAGTTGAGATACAAAAAAGACGTAGAAATATTGTAGGTTTATCCCGTCCCTAGGTTATCTAACGTTAGTGAACTGTCGAAATAGGTAGCTAATCAATTGCAATTTGTAGCCTACATATAGGTAATCAGATTATTTGGAGTTTGAACTTTTCTCGCAATTTTATAGTTTACGTTACAGAAGAACTTTTTTCTGATATGGGACGAAAAAAGAAGAAGCCCGCAAAGCCTTGGTGCTGGTATCCTTATCTCATTTCTTAGGCTTAATATTGGACATACCTCTAAATAATAAATTAGATTACTACTATTAGTACTAATTTACTATAAAATACCACCTGAACCAAGTGGTGAAAACGTCCCAGGAGGTGTAGCACTGAAATTTAAGTTTAGTTTAATGAATGCAGACACTGTGGTGTAGACTTCTATTGTAGTTAACTTATAGGCCTAAATTCGATATGACCGAGGCCTGCTTATAAGTTATACTTACAGCTATAATTATAAGACTAGTTAAATCTGTTTTACACTACTAGTAGTAGCAGTAGGGCTGTTGTAAGTCGATAGAAAAAGTTTCTAAGTATGATTGAAATTTAAAGAACTGAGAAAATAAAATGGAAATTTATGACTATTGGTATGGAATTGGTAGTTTGTTTTGTGGTGTTTAATTTTTAATAAATAATAATTGCGTAGATAAGATTCTTACCCTAATTTCTTACAGATCATAGTAGTTAAATATGTAAAACTGGTTTCAACCCTTGGCTAATGATAAAGAAGATACAGAGGTTCTGGTTGCAAGAGACTGTGTATTGACTTGAAAGGATTTTTTGAGTGCTAAGATTGAAAAGAAGGGAGTTTGGATGATGTATGTTATGATTAGTGTTGGATTACTGATAGTTTTTTTTTATGTATGTTGGTAGAGAGGAATATACAGGGTTTAAAGGAGGAAAATGCAAGTTTCTCCTTAAGCACAAATTGATAGAGTTAGGCTGGGATATACTATTTTACATTATTCCCATAACTAGTCAATAGTAAAACATGGTGATTCTGCTTAATGAATTATCTCATTATGCAGACTCAGTATTTTATGCAGAATACACTTGTATTTTCATTTTTGATGACAAGGAACATACTTTAAAAAAAATAGTTTGGAGACAGCTTGAATGGGTAGTGAAAGAAACTTTATTACTTAAATTATTGTGTGAAGTTTTGGCTTAATTATCACACGGAAGATTGTGATCACATCTAAGTATAAACTTGGAAATGTTTTGATTTGGTGTGTGTACTTTTTGTTTAAATTTACATGAACTTTTTTAAGACATAAGTCCATTTGATAATAAGACTATGTACACAGAACATGAAGATTTGTTGTTGTTTTTGTGTTTACTTTCCAAAATTAACTTTCAAATATTGTGAAACCAAACACTTGCAGTTTTCTTGAAGTTGTGAGAAGTAAAATTACAACCATCAAATAAAACACTAGTCAACCTTTAGTGTAAGTTTTAACTGTCTGGTACAAGTCAGTAAGTGTTATAATTGTAGATTATCATGCAATGCAAAAGGTGTCATTATTAGTTAAATTGTCTTTAAATTAAATGCAATGTATAATAATCACAATGAAAAATTAAAACAAAATTATTTGTTTGGAAAGTGAAATTACATATTTTAATTCTAATGGAACTATGTCCACTTTGACAGTTGAGGCTTTAACATTATCATGTATTTAAAAAAAACAATTAATGACATGATATTTGCACATTTGTTTACAACACTTGTCAAACAGTTATACTTATAAAACTATAAAAATGTTCAAAACCTTAATATTGTAATTAATTAGAAAACAGTATTTAATGTACTTAATTATTTTATAAACAATTAAATATATTAAACATTGTAAGTATGATTTACATACATACAAAGACACTTTATATTGGTACAATATCCTGATTGTAATGACTTTGAAACAGCAAGCTGAGTAGTGAACCTGTGTATAGTAATACCCCCTGTTTTTCTATAAAAAATCAACAAATCAAATGTGTGAGTACTGTACTTGCCAGTGTATAATATGACTCTAGATTTTTTAAACGAATTAAGTGTGGTTCAGTGTATAGGATGACCTCTATTGTCAAGTAACTCTAGGATGTTACTTTTGTAAACAAATTCTTAGAAGTTATTTTTAAACTGTACTAACTAGCACTCTGGGGTAATCAATCCAACCATGAGTGTGGTTTTTATGCTTTTCAAATGCTACAGACAGTTCAGTGTGGTATAACTTAAGTCACAAACATGTAATAAACAACTTTACAAAGTATTAATCACAGATGAACTCCTTTTCTATTACCAAAAATAATAAACGTTAAGTTATAAGCATCTATTATATGAAAACATGTTTATAACATTAATGTATGGTATAGAAACTACCTTTTTTTATGTAATATTAGTAATATTTTATTATGATGGATGAGACTAATACATTTCATGTAAATGTCATGATTAATTGTAACTAGCATGTGAGATAAATAACTTCTAATTATAAAGGATCGAAACAAATGATACAATTACAAATATGTTATTGTAATGCAGTAGGTTGCACAATGTCAATGCACTTACTCAAAAAAATAAAAAGAACAACGTTGATCTGGTTAAATATGCTATTTACCGGAGAGTTCTTACTGGAACTATCTTTGAACTTGTGTGTAAGATGAGGAGTAAAATCAGGCATTGTTTTAATAGTAAAACAATATAGTGGTAAATACTGTATATCAAAAACAAAAATAGATACTGAATGTCAAATCGGACAAGTGTGTCGTGTCAGCAACTAGTCTGAGTGCACTTTTCCCAGGCTATCATTAACTTACTGGATAGGAACACTGTCTGTGGGTATGAAGGGCTACATTAAGTTTAATGTTACTGTTTTTGTTAGTTTAGTGGCCTGTTGATATTAGTTAAAACAACACAATAAATTAAAATTATTGTAGACACTTTTAATGTTGTTTTAACTAAGCATTTAATAACTTTCTATACACAAGTGCTGTGTTCCTATTATTTGATTTTTAAGACATTTATATACTTTGGAAGCTTAGATTCAGATTTATTTCAGCAGGATTTTTTTTTTTTTCATGTTTGATTTAGTAGCATATTGATGATTTGTTGTGTAATGATGGTTTATAAAATGTTACATACAGGAGTCTAAAACACTGAGAGAAAAGGTACAGGCTGATTTTTTAAGGAAATTTGTTTTTCATTTGGTGCTTTTGGTCTTAGTGAACAACAGATAGAAAACTTGTATTACCAAAACTATACAGCTGAAACTAATAATAAAGATTTTACCTCTTGTAGTGCCAAAAGTCATTGGCTTTTGTGTTTTTTACTCTTAATATAGTAGCAATTATAGTAGAAATTATAAATGGAAGATTTGTCTGGATGATGATATCAATGAAAAATCTAAATGGCCCTTTTCAGTTTTCGTGGTGGAGAGGTTCTGGGATGAACAAGTAGACTGGTTATACTGTAGATCTATGGGATGGGTTTATTGGGTGGAGAGGTTCTGGGATGAACAGGTAGACTGGTTATACTGTGGGATGAGATGAATATTTGTAATAATTATTGTACCATATTTACAAACAGTTAAGCACAGGGTTATTTCAGGAAAACAGCTTGTAAATAAGATAATTTTGCTACAAAGTTGCAAGGCAGGTAGCAAATCTCCCTACTGCCTTATAAAGTTAACTTCTACATCTCTTGTAAATAATGCTTGGAGGTGTCTTTAATGGGTAATGAAGAAAAACTTTAATATAAGTTTAACATAACAGCAAATGTACAATGTTTCGATGAGGTTTTGTCATCGTCAGGTACAAGTCTCGAAAAAGACTATTAATATAGTCAACCAATTCCGTAAACTGAAAAGTAACCTCACAAGTAACGAGATGAAATCCATTTATAATCTGAAAAAAGACATTAACATTAATATTCTAAAGCTGATAAAGGCAACACCACTGTCAT